TGTATTGAATGTTATCTTTTTGCATAAAATATTACATAATGATTATATTGTATTTCAAATAAAATTGTACATATTATAAAAACATTCAATTAGTATTGAATCTCTGAGGCACATGGAAAAAGCCTCAACTTTCCCAATTTATCTTATTGCCAACTAGGAAAAACAATAGAGATATTAAAAAAACGTGTTCAGCCACTTGGTCTGCCCTGATGAAGGGAAGCGTAAACAGAAGTTTCTAATGACACAAGTTCCTCCTAGTATTTTTATGCACTATAAGCATTCATGAATGATATGAATGAGTGATATGCAGTTCATTGGGAGCATCAAATTAAATCGGTGATTCATTATTGAACAGTTTCGTGCACCAAACACTAAAAAAGGATATGAACACTAATGAATATGTAGACAGCAAAACACATCGCGAGCTCTGGTAAATGAAGCAATATTCTGGCCCGAGCGAGCGGAAATTTGAGTGAGTCAGACACAAAAGCAAATGATGTCAGAGAAATCCGACAGGGCAATTAAGACAAAGGCAGCCATAATTAAACAGGAAGTGCTTGCACGGGATTCTCCTGCGCTGCTGTAAAGCCTCCTTTTTAGTCCTGGAATACATCAGGAATCTTAAAAAGCCACATGGTGCATATATGTTGAGCGATGAGATTGTCATGTGTAGCTTTGCAGCGCTGGAGCTTTATGACAGATGCCTGCGAGTCCATTCATTATCTGGGTTTCATTACAGTTATTGAACTTTCGCTTCCATGCGTCAGAGCCGAACTACTGGGCCTTAAATCCTGCGAGGTTCTTAATCAAAACCAGCCTGAACCTCCTCTCTGCCTGTCTTACAGCAAAAATGTCATCTCCTCTCCAAGCTTGCACCCTTCATCTCCGTTTCCCTCTCCCCCTCGCTTCGGTTCTGCTCCTCTCTCTCTAATGCGCCCCCCCCCTTTCAGTCTTGGCCCTCGAACTTCTGGAAAAATGCACCCCCTTAAAGCGGAGCTCTCTAATCTGAGTCCAAAAGAAGTCATCAAAAAGCCCGCGGTTGACCCGTTTCTCTCCCTCTCCCCAAACTCTCCAGTACCTCGGCGAGCACAGTTACCAGGAATGAAGTGAATGGACACAGTATGCGCACAATATAGAGCAGAATCAGGCTTATATAACGTTACGGAGAGGTTCAACGAGACTTGCTCAGCTCCATTTATCAATATTTATTGAAGGGGGCATATAATAGGAAACAGGATTCTCATGGCTGTGGTGAAATAAAGGTAATTTTACACAACACATGGAAGCTTTGCTCTGCAAGTGCAATGAGGCCTGCTACTGCTTCAGCTCAGTCGTTAAAGCAAATATTTTTATGCATGTAATTTTCATTTCATACTGTAGCTAATGAAATGAAATATTTATTTCACTATAAAATTCATGGGTTTTCATTTTAAAAACTTATTCGATTGCAAGTAAAACAGGTCAATGACAAATAGCACTTAAATTATATATATATATATATATACTATATACAGTGTATATAGTATATAATTTATTTATTAGTTACCAGGAATGAAGCGAATGGACACAGTATGCGCACAATATAGAGCAGAATCAGGCTTATATAACGTTACGGAGAGGTTCAACGAGACTTGCTCAGCTCCATTTATCAATATTTATTGAAGGGGGCATATAATAGGAAACAGGATTCTCATGGCTGTGGTGAAATAAAGGTCATTTTACACAACACATGGAAGCTTTGCTCTGCAAGTGCAATGAGGCCTGCTACTGCTTCAGCTCAGTCGTTAAAGCAAATATTTTTATGCATGTAATTTTCATTTCATACTGTAGCTAATGAAATGAAATATTTATTTCACTATAAAATTCATGGGTTTTCATTTTAAAAACTTATTCGATTGCAAGTAAAACAGGTCAATGACAAATAGCACTTAAATTATATATATATATATATATACTATATACAGTGTATATAGTATATAATTTATTTATTTAAGTGCTATTTTCCATTTGGTCAAAAGTTTGGAATAAAGATTTTTTTTTACTGTTTTTGAAAGATGGCCCTTATGGTCTTCTGCATTTATTTGATCAAGAAAAAGAAAAAAACCCCGGTAAAAACAGTATGTATATACTTAAAATAACTGTTTTGTATTAGAATATATTTTAAAATATTATTTATTTCTGTGATGGCCTTCAGCGTCACATAAATCATTCTAATATGATTAAAATAAATAAATAAAAATAAAGTGTTTGTGTATGTATATGCATATGTTTATATATATATATATATATATACATAAATGGATACGTGTGCGCTCGCACACACACACACACACACACACACACACACACACAATTAAAAACCAATGACATTTATTAACACATTTCTTTATTAAATAGATTTTTTTAAAGTTCTATTTGTTGTTGATTTATTTTATCTGCATATCGCAAATATTTTATTTATTTATTTACATGAAAACCCATTTTAATTAAAAAAATGATTGCTCATTTTATTAACTAGAATGACAAAAAAAAAATCGATTTTCCTCCCTGTAAACAATATTTTAATTTTGAGATTTTTTTCTCTATATTTAGAGTATATTTAGATATGTAGGCTATGTGATAAATTCATATTTGTATACATACAGAGAGAGAGAGAGAGAGAGAGAGAGCGCACAATTACAAAATCTCATGTTAACGTGTCTCTCTTTTCCTGTTCATGTTTTTATAATGAGCTGATTTTTGATCACTTGTATGTTTATGGTAAACACACATGTATATTCTTGTACGACTCCTCTCTTAAAGTCACTTTTGATAAAAGCATTTCTAAATGTATGTGACCATGGACTAATCAATAAAAGTCAAAGTTAAAAACCAGATTGACAATCACAAAATGTCCACCAAGCAAAAAAAAAAAAAAGTTGTCCGATACTGTAATTCAGTGGGATAAATGGATTAGTCTCCATGGAGACGGCAGGCGGGAGTTGTAGTATGGAGGTATCGCAGTCTTCACCCAAACAGATGGGCGGTGAGACGGCAGGGAGCAGATCAATATCCATGTGCTCTAGTGAACACAGGCCTCCCTTGTCTGCTGGAGCCAAACCAGCCTGAGGGCCGCCATGGCCTCTCTTCTCTCTCGCTCACTCCCTCAGAACTGACCGTTTTCTCACTGCGGACACTTACTGAAAGAGATACTTATGATCCCGAGGTCATGAAGGCACTGGAGGACACTAAACGCTTTCTAAAGTCGCACTCTGATTCATAATCTAACAGATGACTGTGAAGCCATCTTGAAACAACAATGAAAGAACCTCACAGAGTGTTAACTGACTTGCCTTCATGGGAGCTGGTAAATGTACCAACTGTTCTGGATGCGCTAAGCTTCGACATGAACTGTGACAGTAGGGTAAAATGACAATAATAAACAGTTAAAGGAATAGTCATTTAAATGTACAACAACCACAGAAAACATGCAGAGTTAAAAGGGGTTAAAGGGCAAAAGTTTATGACCTTTACCAGATAAAATAACAAAGTATTGCACTGGAATGAACATTAAAACACACACTACTGCATACTATATAGTATATAACTACTATACTATACAATGCTATATATACTTTATAACTAAATAAGTAACTTCTAAATAAATAACTAGTATGTAGGCTATTTAATAAATGTATACAATAAATGCATATATGATAAAAGAACATTGCATTTAATCAATGCATATGCCTTTATAATAAAATATTAGATTTTTTTAACATAATAATAATAAAATATTAAATTCTGTTCTTTAGAACTATTCATCAAAGAATCCTGAAAAAAAGATATATCATGGTTTCCACAAAAATGTTAAGCAACCGTTTTCAACGTTGATCATAATAATAAATGTTTCTTGAGCAGCAAATCAGCATATTAGAATGATTTCAAAAGGATCAAGTGACACCGAAGACTGGAGTAATGATGCTGAAAATTCAGCTTTGACATCACAGGAATAAATTCTATTTTAAAGTATATTAAAATATATTTGACTCTATTTTATTATACTTATGTAAGAAAATCTTACCAACCCCAACTTCTTAATACTAATGTATAAACAGTATAATTAGACAAAAATTTAGCTTTAAAAAAAAGTTGGATCTAAAAGTATGCACTACTCCTAATCTTGCACACTAGATTCAAATTCAAACAAGTTCTGCTGGCATGACTCTTGTACACTATATAGAACTGATACTATGCAAATTGAGATGCTGCCAGAAAATGTGATTGTACTGTAAAATTACAATAATAATTCACTCCAACCATAACATCTGAATCATTTATGGTAAGATGGTTTGTTCACTGGGATGCTTGTGTGCTACTGTGGGGGCGTTCTTGGAGAGATGTTGCTGTGAGATTGCTCCAGGCCTGGGTTGAAAAGCCATGGCAGAAGGTCATTAGAATCTGGTTTCACATTAGCATGTGCTGAATGGGATTACCCAGCCAGAGGAGACCAACACACACACACACACACACACACACACACACACTCATGCATACTTACCCTACAGGCTTTACTGCTAACAGAGCAGCCATTAGCAGAACACTAGCAAACAGCCTCTCCTGTCTGTCTGTCTGTTGCCATTTCATTGTGATTATTTTTCCTACGAGTTTCCATCCATCGGTGTTCTCAGACTCCTCCATCAGGCTCCTTCTCTGTCTCATCACACTCATAAACACACACACACACACACATGCATACTTACCCTACAGGCTTTACTGCTAACAGAGCAGCTATTAGCAGAACACTAGCAAACAGCCTCTCCTCTCTGTCTGTCACGGTTTCATTGTGATTTTTTTCCTATGAGTTTCCATCCGTCGGTGTGTCCTCAGACTCCTCTATCAGGCTCTTTCTCTGTCTCATCATCACACTCATAAACACACACACACACACATGCACGCACGCACAAAAGTCCAAAATAAGCATTTACTGAAACTATACGGCAACTTACTGATGTCAGATAAAGATATTAGAACAGATCACGACTCACATTTACATTGTAAACATCTATTAGGTGAAATTGGAGTATAAAAATGTGAATAACATAAATGGACTAAAATGATTACAAAAACATTAAATGACCCCTTTAAATCACATGCATTCTTACATCAGCGTGCACTGAAATGTTTCAATATTACTTGCGTTTTCCATTTTAAATTATTTGCCACACAAATACATCAATAAACTACACTACTATACATAATCATAAATTGCTTCAGTAATTAAAACAGTAATACAAACAAAACTGCCAGTGCAACCTCTGAAGGAAATAAATAACGCTCTATTACCCAGTGTCAAAATAGCTGAGCATCTACTGGAACAGGCTATAGTAGGTTGGGTTCATTTTTTTATACAACCTAAAAACCTGTTGCAGTTTCATCTTTCTGCACGACTCCAATCGGCCGGTGGATCTCGAGGGCCTTTTGGTTTATTTATGCGACAGTTGAAACCTGAAGATAAACACAGACAATGTTTAAAATCACCGGGTGCACTGAGAAACACAAAATAACAGAGCACAGGGCACAACGAATTAATATCAATCAGGATTGCATACATGTCTGTTTTTTATTTTTTAAACAAATTTTTGCAAGAATGATGTTGCATTCTTCAGAACCTGGTTGCCAAGGCATTTCTACGTGTTGCGTTCATCCTCGCAAGGTTCAAAACTGGCAAGACTTTCTTTCTTCTATGATGGAACAAAGATTTAGATATTTGGACGACAGTTATTTTCTAATAAATGACATTTCAAAGTTGCATCATTTTTGCTCCACAGAAAAAAGAAAGTCATATAGGTTTGAAAAGACATTGTTGGGTGAACAAATGCTTGAATACTGAAGATTAGAGGTCTGTTCAAAATCTCGAACCCTAAATATGAGCAACAGCAGAAGTGATGTTTGCCTTTGCCGGATATGGGCACCGTTGAGGCCTAGAAACCACACTGACTTTTTTGTGGTTGTAAGTGTGTGTGTGGTCCAAAAAGCTCAGTTAGATCAGTTTATCTATTGTAAGGCAGCAGTTTATTTCTTTTTATTTACTAAATGACAAGTTAGCAATTTACATGTGCACAATAAGATTGATTTAGGCAGCCGTTCAACTTTTAGACAAACTAGAAAATGTAATAGCATGCATTTTTTTTTTTCTAGAGACTCATTAATAACCCATCCAAACCTAAATGTTTATCTGCTCAGTACTCTTGTTATGTACAGAATTAAGATTTAGTGTGCATATGGCGTTACTCACCCAGGCCGCCCGGGGCAAATATGCTGCTGGTGTCCTTGACAACGCTAGACACATATTCATAATCATCATCTGTAGAAGACTGGCTCTCAGCTGCGAAAACATGTTTAACAATGTTTAATGACTTAAAAACCAAACTCAGAGTAAGAGAGTGAAACCAGCACTGATCTAACACTGCTTCCTGTTTACTGCTAGATAGTGTTTCACACACATTTGGTCGATAAGGAGTCTCCAAGTGACTCGTGCATTACTAACAACACACACGTTACTCTTTATGGACTGCACACACACACACACACACACACACACACACACACACAGAGAAAGAGTTGGATCAAGGCTGGAGTCAAAATATTCACTGCATGACTACAAATGGAGTCTCTGTTGACTGCAACACCTGTGGAGAAAAACTCCCTCAGGCTAAAAACACATCTACAGGGATTTTTTAAAAATATAATAATCATGTTGTTTTTGTTTTGGACAGTTCTTGTACAATCACAGCAATGATCAAAGGCCTATTAAGTAGTTCACAATAATGTGATAGTTAAAAAATAAATAAATTTACCCATATTTTATATAGATCTAAAATATTTCTTTTTCATTTTTATTACATATTAACACACGTTTGTTTGTGTGTGTGTGTGTGTGTGTGCACGTGAAAATATATGTAACGAAAATACATATCGCAAGCCGCTTTGGATAAAACCGTCTGCTAAATGAATGTAAAAGTAAATATATTGTAAATATATGTATTAATATATAAATAAAATATATAAAAGAATTCCCACACATACACAGCAAAAAGTCAGTTTATTTATATATACAGTATATATATATGCGTGTGTGTGTGTGTATGTATGTATATTAAATAAAAATTTATATTTATACATGTATATTATTATTATTATTATATGTATATTATTTGTATATTTAATAAAATATTACTATTAAATATTACTATTATTAATATATGATTTATAACAGTAACATTATAATTATTAATTACTAATAGTATTATGATATATAATACCATATTAATATATTGAAGAAAATAAAAATTGTGACAAATGACAAAATTACATACACACAAAATTCATGCTTATAATCAGAATTATTGTGGGATTTTTTTTTTTAAAGACTTTAATAAGTAGCATCTCCTTCAAGGTTGTTACAAATTCCATTCAAATTCAACCTATATCACATAAGACAATGTTTAAAATCACCGGGTGCACTGAGAAACACAAAATAACAGAGCACAGGGCACAACGAATTAATATCAATCAGGATTGCATACATGTCTGTTTTTTATTTTTTAAACAAATTTTTGCAAGAATGATGTTGCATTCTTCAGAACCTGGTTGCCAAGGCATTTCTACGTGTTGCGTTCATCCTCGCAAGGTTCAAAACTGGCAAGACTTTCTTTCTTCTATGATGGAACAAAGATTTAGATATTTGGACGACAGTTATTTTCTAATAAATGACATTTCAAAGTTGCATCATTTTTGCTCCACAGAAAAAAGAAAGTCATATAGGTTTGAAAAGACATTGTTGGGTGAACAAATGCTTGAATACTGAAGATTAGAGGTCTGTTCAAAATCTCGAACCCTAAATATGAGCAACAGCAGAAGTGATGTTTGCCTTTGCCGGATATGGGCACCGTTGAGGCCTAGAAACCACACTGACTTTTTTGTGGTTGTAAGTGTGTGTGTGGTCCAAAAAGCTCAGTTAGATCAGTTTATCTATTGTAAGGCAGCAGTTTATTTCTTTTTATTTACTAAATGACAAGTTAGCAATTTACATGTGCACAATAAGATTGATTTAGGCAGCCGTTCAACTTTTAGACAAACTAGAAAATGTAATAGCATGCATTTTTTTTTTTCTAGAGACTCATTAATAACCCATCCAAACCTAAATGTTTATCTGCTCAGTACTCTTGTTATGTACAGAATTAAGATTTAGTGTGCATATGGCGTTACTCACCCAGGCCGCCCGGGGCAAATATGCTGCTGGTGTCCTTGACAACGCTAGACACATATTCATAATCATCATCTGTAGAAACAACTTACTGATGTCAGATAAAGATATTAGAACAGATCACGACTCACATTTACATTGTAAACATCTATTAGGTGAAATTGGAGTATAAAAATGTGAATAACATAAGTGGACTAAAATGATTACAAAAACATTAAATGACCCCTTTAAATCACATGCATTCTTACATCAGCGCGCACTGAAATGTTTCAATATTACTTGCGGTTTCAATTTTAAATTATTTGCCACACAAATACATCAATAAACTACACTACTGTACATAATCATAAATTGCTTCAGTAATTAAAACAGTAATACAAACAAAACTGCCAGTGCAACCTCTGAAGGAAATAAATAACGCTCTATTACCCAGTGTCAAAATAGCTGAGCATCTACTGGAACAGGCTATAGTAGGTTGGGTTCATTTTTTTTATACAACCTAAAAACCTGTTGCAGTTTCATCTTTCTGCACGACTCCAATCGGCCGGTGGATCTCGAGGGCCTTTTGGTTTCTTTATGCGACAGTTGAAACCTGAAGATAAACACAGACAATGTTTAAAATCACCGGGTGCACTGAGAAACACAAAATAACAGAGCACAGGGCACAACGAATTAATATCAATCAGGATTGCATACATGTCTGTTTTTTATTTTTTAAACAAATTTTTGCAAGAATGATGTTGCATTCTTCAGAACCTGGTTGCCAAGGCATTTCTACGTGTTGCGTTCATCCTCGCAAGGTTCAAAACTGGCAAGACTTTCTTTCTTCTATGATGGAACAAAGATTTAGATATTTGGACGACAGTTATTTTCTAATAAATGACATTTCAAAGTTGCATCATTTTTGCTCCACAGAAAAAAGAAAGTCATATAGGTTTGAAAAGACATTGTTGGGTGAACAAATGCTTGAATACTGAAGATTAGAGGTCTGTTCAAAATCTCGAACCATTAAAACTAAGGCAGCAGTTTATTTCTTTTTATTTACTAAATGACAAGTTAGCAATTTACATGTGCACAATAAGATTGATTTAGGCAGCCGTTCAACTTTTAGACAAACTAGAAAATGTAATAGCATGCATTTTTTTTTTTCTAGAGACTCATTAATAACCCATCCAAACCTAAATGTTTATCTGCTCAGTACTCTTGTTATGTACAGAATTAAGATTTAGTGTGCATATGGCGTTACTCACCCAGGCCGCCCGGGGCAAATATGCTGCTGGTGTCCTTGACAACGCTAGACACATATTCATAATCATCATCTGTAGAAGACTGGCTCTCAGCTGCGAAAACATGTTTAACAATGTTTAATGACTTAAAAACCAAACTCAGAGTAAGAGAGTGAAACCAGCACTGATCTAACACTGCTTCCTGTTTACTGCTAGATAGTGTTTCACACACATTTGGTCGATAAGGAGTCTCCAAGTGACTCGTGCATTACTAACAACACACACGTTACTCTTTATGGACTGTATTTGAGTGCACTCATAGGTAGGTTATGGACATAATATAAAGTCATCCAACATCAGCATTGTGGGTTAAAACTTGCATATACCTTGCAGATGCTCTCAACCTTAGGAGTGGAGGTGAGATTTCTGTTAACTATTGTATGCATCATAGTTTTCAATTAATTAATTACATTTTTGTTTTTTTTTAGCACAATTATCTAACTGTAGGTTAGACCTTCATATTATTTATGCAGCTTGTCTTGCATTTAAAATATTAACACGACCCAGCACATTAAAAAGAACCCATTTTATGGCATGAGATTGCAGGAAAAAAACTATATTAAACTATAAGCTATATATTAATAATAAATAGCTTATAATAACAAAATACATAATAAAAATATAATTTGTAAATAAATTAAATGAGCTAAATAGTTACATGCATTGTTATTCTTAATTTTGTTTTTTTACTTTTTTATTTTAATATTATTTTTGCCTTCACTAGTACATTAAAAAAAGTCAAAGTAAAATAATTATAGAAAAATAAGGATACTTTCTTTTATGTCAACCCCTCATTTAGCATAAGCATTTATTTATTTATTTTGCGGAATTTATCATTTAAATTATGAATAAATTCACACAGAAAAATCCTTTTCCAGATCAGCTTGCATAGGAAATAAAACACGTAACCGCGCACTTACTTGTACTTGAGGATCGTGAAAGCAGACCGTGTGGCTGAGGAAAACACATTTCAGTTCATTAGTTTTAATGATGATCTTTGCAGATCTTAATCTGTGATTATTAGGGTTAAAAAGACTGTGATCATCAGTCAATACAATGCATTTTCACTGGAAATATTCAATCTGTCAGGTAAGTTTTACTAAATGCACTGCCAGTAAGTGTGTGCTAAAGCTCGTTAACTTGTAGGTGTGATCTCAGCTAGAAGCCTCATATATCACAGGAAGAGGCTGAATGTGAATGTGATGTGAAACACAAACAAGAAAGTAATATGACACATCTACAAGTGAGCAGACACACATTACAGGCCAATAACTGCATATAAGGGCGTCATATAAGATTAATATGTACAGTACTTAGTACTTTCATTTAACATCTAACATGAAAACCAAATGAACCCATCTGTCAAGCAAAAATGACTGCAAACATCTTATTACCAAAAGATCATTTACCTGCGAATCTCTATTCATGGACCTCAACTCCCCTGAGAAAAAAAATAAAATAAAAAAAAGATTTATTCAAAACTTATCTTTAAAAATGTGTAATATTGATTATATTTTATGTTGTATGATTTTTGTAGTATTGTTCCAGTTACATCTAAGTATGGAAAATGACAAATTATTATTATTTTCTCTAAAACAATTTACTCTTTTAAATGAAGTATGCGATTTTTTTTGTCTTTTTTGTTTAGGATTTTTTCAAATACTTCATCTTATCCCAATTTAAATATTAAAATGCATACATTAAGCCATTCATTGGTATGTACCTGATGTGTGAACATTATGGCGCTGTATAAAACATCTAACCTTTTGCCTGAACAAATGGCATGCATTTGGAGGCGGGACTATCTGTTGGTTGACCAATAGCAGACGGGGGAAGTTTATGATACCAGCTTGAAAACACTGGCTATGTTCGAAAAGGAAAACTAGCTTACTATTCAGTATGCACTGTATGCTGCCAACTATTTTCTTTTGGTGGCACCCCAGTGGTATAAAAATGACACACTTCACCTCTTTGGACTTTA